CAGTTTCGCAGTTCGCAGCTCCTCCCCCCGCAGGAATGGCGAGGTCGAACCTGAATATGCGTGGCGCGTCACTCCGCTGGACCCCTCAGCAGCAATCGAAAGCGGCGACAGTTTCACAGTTCGCAGTCCCCCAAGGACGGCGGGGTCTAATCTGAATTTGCGTAGCGCGTCACCCCGCTGGACCCTTTTCAGCAGACTTCGAACATTGCGAGAGTTTTCGCTTTTCGCAGGCCCGCAGTGATGGCGAGGCGGGGGGCATATTCGCAGGCAAGCAGCAAGAGAGGAGGAGAGGGGGAGCGAAGGGGAGGAGAAGCCGGGGGAGGGGCCGGAGAAAAAAGGGGTCCCGACCGCAGTGCTCCATATTCAGGACGAGAAGCCAACGCAAGAGGGGAGAACTTAGCCTTCGTTGTGAACACCGTCGTTGTATGCACCGCATTCGGAGGAGCTCCCTCTGGGGCTACCGAGCGTGCGAGGGCTGCGCCAAAATGGGCGCGTTGGGCGCATGCGGACGCTGGCATTTGGGCCTTCGGTGGGGCCCCTGTGGGGCCACGGAACGTGTGAGGGGTTTGCCAAAATGGGTGCGGTGGCCGCATGCGAACGCTGGCAGTTGGGCCTTCGGTGGGGCTTATTATGCAGCAGCGAAACGTGTGAGGGGTGTGCCATGCGGTGGCCGCATGCGAACGCTGGCATTTGGGCCTTCGGTGGGGCTTCCTGTGGGGCCACGAAACGTGTCAGGGGTGCGCCACAGTGGGTGCGGTGGGGCTCCCTGTGGGGCCACGAAGCGTGCGAGGGGTTTGCCAAAATGGGTGCGGTGGCCGCATGCGAACGCTGGCATGTGGACCTTCGGTGGGGCTGCCTCTGGAGCCACGAAGCGTGTAAGGGGGGGTGTAAAAACGGGTGCGGTGACCGCATGCGAACGCTGACATTTGTGCCTTCGGTGGGGTTCCCCCTGTGGGGCCACGAAGCGTGTGAGGTGTGTGCCAACATGGGTGCGGTGGCCGCGTGCGAACGCTGGCATTTGGGCATTCGGTGGGGCTCCTTATGGAGCAACGAAGCGTGTAAGGGGTGTGCCAAACTGAATGCGGTGGCCGCATTCGAACGCTGGCATTTGGGCCTTCGGTGGGGCTCCCTGTGGAGCCGCGAAGCGTGGGTGTGCCAAACTGGGTGCGGTGGCCGCATGCAAACGCTGGCTTTTGGGCTTCCTGTGGGGCTTTTTTTTATGGAGCAACGAAGCGTGTGGGGTGTTTGCCAACATGGGTGCGGAGGGCGCATGCGAACGCTTGCATGTGGGCCTTCGGGGGGCTCCCTGTGGGACAACAAAGCGTGCGAGGGGTTTGCCAAAAAATTGGTGCGGTGGCCGCGTGCGAACGCTGGCAGTTGGGCTTCCGGTGGGGCTCCCTGTGGGGCCACGATGCGTGTGAGGGGTGTGCCAAAATGGGTGCGGTGGCCGCATGCGAACGCTGGCAGGTGGGCCTTCGGTGTTGTTCCTTGTTGGGCCACGGAGCGTGTGAGGGGGTTTGCCAAAATCGGTGCGGCGGCCGCATGCGAACGCTGGCATGTGGGCCTTCGGTGGGGCTCCCTTCGGGGCCACGAAGCGTGTGAGGGGTGTGCCAAAATGGGTGCGGTGGCCGCATGCGAACGCTGGCATGTGGGCCTTCGGTGGGGCTCCCAGTGGGACAACGAAGCGTGTCTCTGTGTGTGTGTGTGTGCGTGTGTGCCAAAATGGGTGCGGTGGGCGCATGCGAACGCTGGCAGTTGGGCCTTCAATGGGGCTCCCTGTGGGGCCGCGAAGCGTGTGAGGGGTTTGCCAAACTGTGTGCGGTAGCAGCATGCGAACGCTGGCATGTGGGCCTTCGGTTGGGGCTCCCTGTGGGGCCACGAAACGTCTGAGTGGTGTGCCAACATGAATGCGGTGGCCGCATGCGAGCGATGGCATTTGGACCTTCGGCGGGGCTCCTTTTGGAGCCACGAAGCGTGTGAGGGGTGTGCCAAAATGGATGTAGTCTGCGCATGCGAACGCTGGTATTTGTGCCTTCGGTGGGGCTCCCGATGGGGCCACGAAGCATGTGAGGGGTTTGCAAACATGGGCGCGGCGGCCGCATGCTAACGCTGGCAGTTGGGCCTTCGGTGGGGCCCCCCTTGTGGGGCCACGAAGCGTGTGAGGGGTTTGCCAGAATGGGTGCGGTGGCCGCATGCGAACGCTGGCAGTTGGGCCTTCGGTGGGGCTCCCTGTGGGGCCACCAAGCGTGCCAGGGGCGTGTCAAAATGGGTGCGGTGGCCGCATGCTAACGCTGGCATTTGGGCCTTCGGTTGGGGCCCCCTTTGTGGGGCCACGAAGCGTGTGAGGGGTTTGCCAAAATGGATGCGGTGGCCGCATGCGAACGCTGGCATTTCGGCCTTTTGTGGAGCTCTCTGTGGAGCCACGAAGCGTGTGAGGGGTGCGCCACAGTGGGTGCGGTGGGCGCATGCGAACGCTGGCAGTTGGGCCTTCAATGGGGCTCTCTGTGGGGCCACGAAACGTGTGAGGGGTTTGCCAAACTGGGTGCGGTGGCCGCATGCGAACGCTGGCATGTGGGCCTTCGGTGGGGCGCCATGTGGGGCCACGAAGCGTGTGAGGGGTGTGCCAAACTGGGTGCTGAGTCCGCATGCGAACGCTGGCCTTCGGGCCTTCGGTGGGGCTCCCTGTGGGGCCACGAAGCGTGTCAGGGGTGTGACAAACTGGGTGCAGTGGCCGCATGCGAACGCTGGCATTTTGGCCTTCGGTTGGGGCTCCATGACGAGCCACGAAGCGTGTCAGGGGTGTGTCAAAATGGGTGCGGTGGCCGCATGCGAACGCTGGCATGTGGGCCTTCGGTGGGGCTCCCAGTGGGACAACGAAGCGTGTGGGGGGTTTGCCAAAATGGGTGCGGTGGCCGAATGCGAACGCTGGCATTTGGGCCTTCGGCGGGGCTCCCTATGGAGCCGCGAAGCGTGTGAAAGGTGTGCCACAATGGGGGCAGGGGCCGCATGCGAACGCTGGCAGGTGGGCCTTCGGTGGGGCTCCCGATGAGGCGATGGGGCCACGAAGCGTGTGAGGGGTTTGCAAACATGGGCGCGGTGGCCGCATGCTAACGCTGGCAGTTGGGCCTTCGGTGGGGCCCCCTTGTGGGGCCACGAAGCGTGTGAGGGGTTTGCCAGAATGGGTGCGGTGGCCGCATGCGGACGCTGGCATTTGGGCCTTCGGTGGGGCTCCCTATGGAGCCACGAAGCGTGTGAGGGTTTTGCAAACATGGGTGCGGTGGCATCATGCGAACGCTGGCAGTTGGGCTTTCGGTGAGGCTCCTTGTGGAGCCACGAAGCGTGTGGAAGGTGTGCCAAAATGGGCGCGGTGGCCGAATGCGAACGCTGGCATTTGGGCCTTCGGTGGGGCTCCCTTTGGGGCCACGATACGTGTGAGTAGTGTGCCGCAATGGGTGCGGTGGGCGCATGCGAACGCTGGCATTTCGGCCTTCGGTGGGGCTCCCTGTGGAGCCGCGAAGCGTGTGCGTGGTTTGCCAAAATGGGTGCGGTGGCCGCATGCGAACGCTGGCATTTGGGCCTTCGGTGGGGCTCCCTGTGGGGCCACGAAACGTGTGAGGGGATTGCCAAAATGGGTGCGGTGGCCGCATGCGAACGCTGGAATCCTGGCATGTGGGCCTTCGGTGGGGCTCCCTTCGGGGTCACGAAGCGTGTGAGGGGTGTGCCAAATTGGGTGCGGCGGCCGCATGCGAACGCTGACACTTAGGCCTTCGGTGGGGTTGCCTATGGGGCCACGAAACTCGTGAGGGGTGTGCCAAAATGGTTGACTGGTTCGGAGGGCAGAGGCAGGGATCGGAGGAAGAAGGGGAGCGAGGAGGAGAGGAGGAGAGGAGACGCGGGGCGCTGTCTCTTCAAAACGAGGACCCACCACCACAGGATGGTTGGGAACAAGGCGGAGGTCCTTCGCCGTTCTCAGCCTCGGGGGGCTGCCGCCAGGCGGGCCCCGGGAGCGTCAGCAAACGTTGCTCGGGACGAGAAGCTGGCCCGGGCGGGGGGGGGGGCGGGACTTCCGGGGACCCCACGTTGAGAGCGTCGAGGCATCGGAGGTCTGGGCATGCCAGACCCTCTCCTTCGACACGTCCCGCGGTCCGCCTCGTCCGCGCACACGGCCTCGGGCCACGATGCGCCAACCCCCCTTTTCCCGGCCAGCCTCGTCGTCGCATCCGAGGGCCCCGTGCCGAAGAGTTCACGGCGTCGGAGATCTGGAGCTGGTGGCGCGCAGAGGGGGGGGGGGGCGAGGGGGGGAGGGGCTCTGCTGGGAGGAGGCCCAGGACTCTCAGGGCCTGTTTCTGCGGCTGCCTTGCGACGAGTTCCGCCACCGTGTCAGCACACCACTCGGTGTGGCGACGCGTCGAGCACCGCCTCCTGGAGGTGGAAACTGGGCGGGCGTCTCTTCAGCTCCTCGCCTCCTTGGAACCATCTCGAGGCGAGAGGCCCAGAAAAAGAAAACGTTCGAAAGCCAGAGAGCTCCTATTGATTGAATGATGTGTGCCGTCCTGGAAGGCCTCCTGGCCTTGTCCTCGGTATCTTAGAATCGTCGTGGGGCCCCTCTGGCGCCTCTTGGGGTCTTCCTGGGGGGTGCTTCGGGCGTCTCGGGGGAATGCTGGGCCATCTTGGCGGTCTTGGCAGTCGGCTCTCTCGGAACCTTTGGAGATCATTGAAGGGCACCCGGGAAGCTTACGCAGAGCCGCCAAGGGAGCCTCGCGAGGGGTGAGGATGCACGCAGCTGAGCGTGAGCTGAGAGGGGGGGCCCGGAAGGCTTTCAGAAACTCCAGACAACATTTGACATCCCATCACGCCTCAGCGTGCTAGGCGGCACGGAGGCGGAGAAGGCAGGAGGGCTTCTTCGCCCGATGGTCTGGAGAAGGCACGAAGAGGCTTCCGAGAAGGCTTCTCGGGAGGACGCCCCCCCTCGCCCCACCCCCTCCTGCGGCGCCGCCAAGAGACGCCGCCAGAGCGGCCTCGGGGGAGTCTGGGCAGCAGCCCGGCGGCCGGGTCTACCTGGTGACGGGCGCCACTGACGGCATCGGGAGGTTCACCGTGGAGCGGCTGGCGAGGCTCCCCGACGCCGTGGTGATCGTCCACGGGCGCAGCCCAGAGCGCGTGGAGAGGACGCTGCGGGAGCTGCGGGAGAAGACCGGCTCGAGCGCACTGCACGGCGCAGTGGCCGACCTCAGCCTCATGAGTGACGTGCGTCGCCTGGCCGCCGACGTGCAGGGCCGATTCCCCCGGCTGGACGGCCTCCTGAACAACGCGGGGACTTTCGACGGCGACTACACGGGGAAGCGGGTCGAGACCCCCGAGGGGAACGAGTACTCTCTGGCCGTCAACGTCATGGCCCCCTTCCTCCTGACCTCGCTCCTGCTGGAGTCGGTCCGCGCGTCGGGAGCCGGGCGCGTCATCATCACGTCCTCGATGTCGGCAGGGAACTCCCGCGCGCTCGGCGACCTTCAGCTGCGGAGGTCCTACGACGCGCACGGGGCATACAGCCTCAGCAAGCTCTGCGACGCTATGATCGCCATGGAGCTGCACGCTCGGTATGGCGACCCGCCGAGATTGTGCTTCCACACGCTGGATCCGGATCCGACCTCGTCTTGGATCGACACGAAGATGCTGCGTGCCGGTTGGTCATCGGGGGGCCACCCCGTCTCCCGCGCCACGGCCTCCTTCCAGATGCTAACCGAGAGCCAGTACGGGCAGCAGAGCGGCGTCTGCTGGGGCTGCTCTTCTGGCGGCAGCCCCGAAAGCAGAGCGAAGCTGTGGTCGGATCTGGTGGGGCTCACGGGCGCGGAGTGGCCCTAGCTGGCGCAGAGGCTGATGCGCAAGCACACCAGAGGAGCGCATTCGGAGACGGCTGGGCGCACACCTGATCAGCTCACCTCCAGAGCAGTGCGAGAATGGGCGGCGGCAGACGATAGAGAAGGGAGGGGGAGATGAACTAGGGCATGAGGCAGGGCATGGGATCGAAGAAGAGCACCGGCATAAACATAAACTTTTGGCGCTCCGCGCGGATTCCTTCTTTTTATCGCCCCAGTGCGCACGAGGCAATTATCGTGTTCAACCTTCTCAAGTTCGCCACGCGGGTGCGGCAGCAGCTCAAAGACATTGACGAAGGAGGCTTCTCTGTTTAGTTTTGAGTGCCAATGTGTATGAGCAGGCCTGTACACGTAGCCGTGATCTGCATCATTGAGGTTTTGCAAGGAAGTAAGGGCGTTCGATGATGGCGGACCGCGTAAGGCTGAGGACAAGACGGCGATGTTTGGCACACCAAGCCCTTGAATGTGTGACAACCGACAGCGCGGCCAGCGGGAGGAGGACGGGGAGATGAAGAGGAGGAGGAGGAGGAGGAGGAGGAGGAGGAGGAGGGGGCGGGTCCCCCGCTCCCCTGTCATCCCACTCCGGCCTTGAGTTCGCAAGCGCAACGTGTTGGTGTCCACATGTCAGGCTGGCTGGCCGTCAGCGGCTCGCCCTTGAGTCGCCGCCCAAAATGCCACGTCGGTCGGGCGAATGTTTTCGTGGGAAAGGGACGAGAAGTAGGAGGTTGCAGCAGGAGTAGGAGGTTGCAGCAGGAGGAGGAGGAGGAGGAGGAGGAGGAGGAGGGGGAGGAGGCGGAGGAGGAGGAGGAGGAGGAGGAGGAGAGTTTCTTGCTACCTCGCCCCTTTAAGTCTGCACGGTCGCCACGCCGCCGCGCCGCTCCGCCGCCCCCCCCTCCCCTCCCGCACCGATCCCCTCGCGCCCTACCCCGAGAGCTACCCAAGAGGCTCACACCATTCCGCCGGCCCCGGGAAGAACAACGAAGTCCACGGGCAAGCCCTGAGGGGGGGGGTCTCTTTCGGGCCTCTTGGTGGCCGCTTCGGGCTGTCTTGGTTCTTGGGCGCCTGCTGGCGGTCTCGGGGGTCCTCTTGCGGCGGAGGGCTCGAACTTCCTCTTGGGCCGTCTCGGGTGACTGTTGGGCCGTCTTGAGGCCGCCCTCTTAGAGGCTTCTTGCGCCGTCTTGGAGCGATCTGGGTGCTTTCCCAAGGGATAAGGACGATGTTTGCCTCTTGGGGCGTTCTGGGGTCCTCGTGGAGTCCGATTGGGGCGTCTTGAAAGCCACTTGGGCAGTATTGAGGCCATCTTTGTTGTTTTCGAGATCTCCTAGGCGTGTTGGAGCCAGGTTTGAGCCAGCTGAGATGGCATCTTGGGTGTCTTGGATGCCACGGGGTGTAGATTTGGAGACTCCAGAGGCCCCAGCGGTGCGTTTAGGAGCCCGCCCCCCCCCCTCCATCCACACAGCCACACCCGCCTCAAACGCAATTTCGGACCCTGGCGAAGGGGGAAGTGGGGGAGGCGGACAGCCCCATGTCTCACGCGCCTTGTCACCCCCGGCAAGTTGGGGTCGGCGGATTTCCCGCCCATGCCTCGTGGCGCTGGCCTGGGTGGGTGCGGCAGGTTCGTGTCGTGTCGACTCGGCGGCGACCCAGCGCGGGTGGCCCAGACCCGTCCAGTATATGGAACAGTTTGGCGATCGAGAAGCCGCCGAGCGTCCAAGGCCGAACGATCCGCGCGATGTGAGAAACCAACGCCGGGGTCGTCACGACACGACCCTGCCGTGGGTGGACCCATGCCTCAGCCGTCAGGCCAATCGGGAGGAGTGGAGCCCAGACCTCCGACGCCGTGTTTTTGTTCGTGACGTCGACCCCCAAAGGTCTCGACTCATTCCCCAGGACCAGTCTTTCATCCTCCGTCATTTTTTGACGGTCCCGAGCGAGAAACCTGCCGTGATTTCCTCATGACTCGAGTGGATCTGGGGAGCAGGGCCTTGAGCGCTCTCGGAGGCCCGGACACCGGCGCCCAGCGCTCGCGCTGCTCCCCCCCGCTGCCGGGCCGGGCGGGGGCAGCGGGCGGCGGCGGCGGCCCGGCGGAGGCAGCCACGTGTTCCCGGCGGACTTGTCCATCCCGCAGCGGCAGGCGCCCCGCCGCGGCCGCCGCTGCCCGGCGCCTCGCCCCTGCAGCTGGGCCTTTGGTGGCCGCCAGGCAGTGCGGTGGCCACACCGCGTGGTGAGGCGGTGGGGACTCTGGTCACCGCACGGTTTTGGGACTGAGGGCGGTTCTCCGAGGACGTCTCGGGCCTCCGAGGTCCCAACGCCGTGTGGTGACGGACCTTGCGGTGAGGTCTTTGCGGATTTGGAGGTCACCGCCGGGTCTGTCACCACACGTTTGTGGGGGCGGAGGTCGCTGTGGTAGGATCCCGATCGACGTGAGGGGTTCCAGAAAGAGCCTCGCCTTCGAGGATCGAAGGAGTTGCCATCTCTTCCTCGGCGGAAGGCGGCGGAAGCACAGCGAGAGCGGCTCCGCCAGCGGAAGTCGCCTCCCAAGAGGCGGCGAGGTGGCTCAGGGTCTTTGCACCCGCAATGTGTCGAGAACCCGTCGGAGCCCAGCCCCACGCACCCTGGCAGGCTCGCACTCTGCAGCCCCCTGGGCCGCCCCTTGGCACGACTC